CTAAGTGTTTCGTCGGCCCTTTCCTACTTCTTAACGCCGTCGCCGTGCTAGGCGCTCCCTGCCCTAGCCGCTGCCTCCCTAGGGGTGGTGTTAGTTATAATGTTACTCTATCAGCGTTAATCAGAAACGAGTTCTCGATTCCCGATCTATTGGACAGGCCTCTATGCGTTGTTATATATATACGCCGAACCCTGAAGTGCTCTATTACACTATATCTTAGTATATTCATTTAAAGCCTATAATTAAATCCGTACTTAGTTATATCTAGTTATATTAAGTACATTATATTTTAGTATATATATAAAGTACTACCATATCTATTTATATCTAGTTATTTCTATTTATATTCAGTATATTCGTGTTTAATTATGCGTACTATCTACTACTTAACTATCTATATTCGACACTAATCACTTATAGTAGCCTTAGTGTTTCTTAGGTTATAGTAGTTTTATTCTCTTAATCTAACTACGCTTATTATTCTTATTATCCGACAATATAATAGATTTATCGTCATTAATATCTATCTTATTACCCGCTTCACTTAACTCATCACTATCGTCTTCCTCCGAATCGTCGTTCGAGGTATCGATAGTCACTGTATCTACGATTTCATTTAGTGCCTATAAATTAATTCGGTTGGCGAATTCCTCTCGACCGAGTCTTCTTTAGTGTAAGGCCACTTTAGACGAGAAGTTATCGTAGTATAATTCAAAGATATTAAGGCCATTCTAGTTAAAGTTGCCTCTGCGTAATATTCGACCGATTATTTACTCGTATAGTCCGGGGTCGCCTTACTATTTCATTAAGATAACGAATTGAGCTCTTATCAATGTTAGACCCGTACCTAATACTTCTAATACACTAACAAGAATATTAACTTCATTCCCATCCTGGAAGTTAACTGATGTCTAGTGACGTAGGGCTTTATTCATAGAACCGTATACGAAGGCCGCAACAATCTTAAATGATAAAGCCTAAGTCATTACGTTCTTAATATACTACACTCGGTTAGTCTCCAACCATAGTTATTTCTTTAACCCGAATATACCTTAAATATAACGAGGGTAGTTTCGTTATTCTTCGCGAAAATAATACTCTTCGAGGGTCTTCTAAGAAAGTCTATTTTCTAGAGCTACTCGATAAGAATAGACTATAGAATCGGAAATTTCGGAGCGTTATCTATTAGAAGTGTTAGATATCGGTGATATATATTTTTAGTCGCGTCGTCGATATTTTTAGTGAAGACTTTCTATTTCTTTATATATTTCACTCCGAAGTCGAATTTTTTAGAGCTATCTACGATCTTTAGATACTTATTATTAGCGTAGACTCTTACGAGTCTCGGTAAAGTCGTATATTTCTATAGAATCGAGGATAAACTACTAAATATCGGCTCGCTACCCGTTATTTCACTCTTATTCTTAGCTACTTATAGTTTGTTATTAAAACTTTTATAAAGTATTATTCTAACGTAGTTTATATTTACCTTACTTATTTAGACCGTATAAAGACGATAATATATACGCGGGAGCGGGAGAAGAACCTTTCCATTAAGCCACTTAGCATCTCTCGTACGCTGAATTATAATTACTAATAGTAACGCCATTCATTTCATCGTGCATTACTTCTTCTCTCTTAGTCACCGAGTAGTTAGTTCGTATAGTCCGAACGACGTATACGATCTTTAGAAGTCGTTCTTTATACGTGACTTTATTTACTGCTAATTTTTAGGTTAGTTTAGCGATCTTAGAGTAACACCGTTTAGAAGTTCCTTACGTTTCTTAAGGTACGCGCAGAGTATCTAGAGAGAAGATATTCTTACTAGATCTCTTACGCCGAGTCGGATTAGTATGTCTAATATCATTATAATCTTAGGCGTTGTGAGACGATTCTATCTAGAGCGCTCGAAGATAAGTTCCCGCGTATTCGTCATCATTAAGTTCGAGATACTTAGTTTCTAATGAAATTTATCTTAAGCGTATCGGCCACATAGGAGTTTATGAATTTCGGTATTAACTATATTCGTCTTATATAATGGCGCGGCGGTAATGAAGACGTATCGATAAAGCCCGATGAGAGACTTTTCGGCTCGTGTGAAGAGAGTACGAGTATCGTTCTTTTCTATATAGAGTTCCCGAATATTAGTTTTCATTACTTTATTACTTATTTATAGCTGAGCGCGTTAAGCCTTCTTACCCGACTCTTTAGTTATTTATACGTGGACGTAGAACTTAAATTTATTCGTCTTTATATTTACTTACTTATACTATTCTTTAATTATATTAATGAGAAGAGTATTAAATATCACTAATATCACCGTCCTTAGTATAGGCCGTATCTTAGATAACGGGTTTCTCTCTACGTAAGAATAATAGATCGCGAATAGCTTAAGCGAAGAATAGAATATATTTTTATCTTATTAGTAATTTCTTCCGGATATTAATAAATACGTTGACTAAATTTAAGAGTCGAAGAATATCCGAGCTCTATCGACTTCGTTCTATACTCTTTCTAAGAGCGTAGTCGTCGTAATAATCGTTGTAAATTAAGTAGACTTACTAAATCTAAGTTAGTCTACTAATAGAATCGTATCTATCGAGGGAATAGTAGTGCTATCTACTTATCGAATATCGCGTGACTCGGTACGTAGAGTGAAATAAATTCCGTATAGTTAGTATACTCGTAGTGAGCGAAGTATACCGTCGATATAGAACTCGCTATCGTGCCGTTTCGCTTACTTAACGTCGACTTTAAAGAAGATATATATCTCTTCGAGTATTTTAAGACTAAGTTATATAAACTTTTCTCGCTGTGCTTAAAGAACTATCTACTAATTTAGTATAGTACGATCTATCTTATCTTCGTTATCGTCGATAGTGGTAAAGTCATCGCTAAGTAGTCTTTTATTATCTTTATCGATCTATATAGAGTTATTGTCGTAGTAATTTATTATCTATAGATTTCCGATACTACTAAGAGTATCTATATCTCGCCATAATAGAAGTTTCTCTAGAGGTTTTGAATGATCGTAACTAAACGTCGAGAGTATTTTCTTTAGTGGTGACCGTATTTTATCGTTATCTTCACTATAATTATTATTATTATAGTTATCTTCGGTAACTTCTTTAGTAGTATCTTCTTTAAGAGTATCTTCTCTAAGAGTATCTTCTCTAAGAGTATCTTCTCTAAGAGTATCTTCTTTAAGAGTATCTTCTTTAAGAGTATTTTCTTCTAGAGTATCTTCTTTTAAAGTATTTTCTTTTAGAGTATCTTCTTCTAGAGTATCTTCTTTTAGAGTATCTTCTTTTAGAGTATCTTCTTCTAGAGTATCTTCTTTTAGAGTATCTTCTTTTAGAGTATCTTCTTTTAGAGTATCTTCTTCTAGAGTATCTTCTTTTAGAGTATCTTCTTTTAGAGTATCTTCTTTAAGAGTATCTTCTTTAAGAGTATCTTCTTTCTCGGATTTAGACTAAAGAGAGAGAGAGTTCGTATTCCCCGTACTAATACTTAGTTCGTCTTTTAGTTTAATCTTTTTTATAAGTAGCTAGTCTTTTTTAACCGACTAAACATTCTCCGGGAGGAGTTTAGAGATCTTTCTTCTTCTTTTTAGATTTGTAGAATACTAAGATATAAAAATTTAGTTCGTGTCTTACGGAGTCTAAAGAGTTTCTACTTAAACTTAGCTATTCGGGCTTAGTTGAACTTCGCTATTTGATTCTGATTAATCGTGTTTAATGCTGTCCGCAATTTTACCAGCCGGATCGTTAAGCTCGGATTAGTGTGATGGTCGATTTAATATTATTAGA